CGATTGCAAGTTCAACGCATTAGAAAGGAAGGAGTTAAGTGCTCTTATATTCCCTGCTTTCCTTGCCCTTGCAATACGCCGTTAAGCTGCCATACAGTGGTCGGCAATTTCTTTTTTAAGACTTGTCTAATTGGTTGGTCAATTTTGTCATGTTTGATTTCGATAGTTCCTTGTTAAAATTTCTCCCATTTCTGTCAAGTTGCTGCGTACTTGATGAATCGCATGAATGTTAAATTAGGGTTCCGTGACTAGCATTCTTCCCAAATATGCGTTTAATTACAGTTGAAGAATCATTAATTGATGTTCACGGTTGTGTAATTTTTTGAAGGGAATTACTTTCTTATCTACCCTGATGCTTCAATTTTTCAAGTCGTCGGTCTAGTTGATCCGAATTGCTATTTAAAGTTACGCTGAGATGTCAAAACAATTTGCCTACAACAGTCATTTTTTAGACTTAGGCATAGAATACAAAATATGCTTTACAGTTAGAAATAGAAAACTTGGTGAAGACGTTCGTCAATTGGTTCAACAGTGTGAGTAATTTATGGGCCTCCCTCATTCTTAACATATTTGCATTTGGATAGCATTCTAAACTTCGTTTTCGTCTGATGATGAACTTATGGGCATCCTGCTACCCATGCTTTGTGTCAATTTTTTCCCTATAACCACCCACGATGTGCTGATGTATGTGTGATCTACAGGAAGTTTTTATGCCTGTGAGCAACTCATATATTCAGAGTTCAAGCGTCGGTTAGTCTTTCCCCTTGCCGTACCACTATATTTGGCACCAATAGTCTAATCCAATATATGTAGAACCTTTCTTACTTATTGTTGGATTGTGTTACAGAATCCCATCGCAGCCCCAGTTCTTCTGTCATAGCCCATTCCTCTTGTGCCTCTAACGACTTTCACGAGGCCCTACAAAACTACTTTGACGTAAGATATCATTTTCTATGCCATTTTATTTCATCTGCTATTGTGCATACAACATATTTATAAAAGACTGATGTGTTTATTGGTTTTTCCATAGATGTCTGACAAAAAATATTGGCTGCCCTGAGAGGAGGATCTTTATGTCCGCACCTACGTGGAGTGGCAGCAGAATGGAAAATGGGAGGCAACTCGTAGCACGTTGGCTAACTTTACTGCGTTGGCCAACTACTTGACCCAAGAGTGTGGGCTCGATTGCACTGGAAGCCAATGCCAGTCCAAATACTATCGCATGGTGGAGAAATGGAGGTTGTTCACTCATCTCCGGGGAGATTCTGCCAAACCTGAGACTGGGATAGGGTAGGATGCCGAGCATAAATACTTCCAAGCTAGAGCTGATCAGTGGGTTTATTTGTACCAGGTTATTTCTGACCATTGTATGCATGTTCCATTGTATTTCCTTAACCATGAAATTCTGCAGTAGTTATAGACTTTCGTTTACATAATTAGTTTTCTCAATTACCTTGGTCACGTATATGCCAATTCCTTATGAAAAAGTGAGAATGGAAGAACACATGTTATCTGTCATTAGCTCTTTTTAAAGTAGGCTTTTGAAAGCCATAGTAGGAAAAAGGCTACTATCTATTGGAATTTTACTGCTGCTCTAGTTCTGATAGTATTACAGAACAGTGCGTCTCTACTAGGGTGAAACAGCTTACTGTCTAATTGTTTCGTCCGAGACTAAAACAAAATGCTCTAATGTAATCATATTGATTTTGTGTACAGAATTCAAAGTTGGAAGAATTGGAAATACCTGAATTATTTTTGTTTCTTGTACTTCAATTCATACTCTGTCTTATACATTTTGCACTACCCGCTGTACATAGAATGTGCATCTAACTTAGCTTCTTCATACAAATAGATAAACAAGCACTATTTGGAGTTCCAACACCCAAATAATGCTAATTTGGTGATGCAATGGGATGCGGTTATGGGTGGCAAACACGCCACTGGCAGTCGAGCTCAATCCTTGGCACAGCTCTCGCCACAATATGTGCCTCCTTGAGTAAGGAGACGTAGGGGGGACAGTAGTGACATCAAGGGGAAAGGGGTGGCTTCAAGCTCTGTTATTGACCCTCCACATCACTTCCTTTTATCAGACGATGAAGACAGCCCTGTTCCAAGAAATCCTGGCAAGCGTCCAATTTCTAGTGGTGCTTATAGCTATGAGAATGATCGATCTAGAGGTGCGAAGTCTCGACGATCGGGCTCTGAAAACTACCAAGAAGCGCTTAGCAATTTCAACAGATTCTCTTGTATTGCGGCAAATGAAAAAGAGTCCAGAGAGAAATATTCCATAGCTGCTGCCAAAAAACCTGTCAAAAGCTTGGGTTTGGAGAAGCGGCTGCATATGTTCTTGTTGAAGGAGTTGCTGGATGAAGAGTTTAGAGCTCTGTTTCTTAGCTTCAATAGGGATGAGCAGTTAACCTGAATTGAGATGTTTATCATCCCGAAGATGGAGGGGAAGTGAAGTTTCGGTGTTTATTGGCTGCCCGTAGTTCTTGTTTACTATTTGTTGAATGACTTTTATAAATTTTCGTTATCGGCTAGTAAGTTCTTTTTTAATGTTGTGGCCATTCATGGTTGTCAAAAATCAGATTTTGCTTGGGTTTGCTATGACCCAAAATGCTTGGTTTAGTATTTTGATAAGTGCTGTTTATGCTCCCACGGGCAGTCATTTGGTGTAAACTTTGGAATGTTTAACTGTGCAAGTTTGTTAAATATGTTGGTTTGAAAGTGGCATAAACTTGGTATATATGTTGTTGAACCTGGATTGATTTGCATGTGCTAATTTCATGAATTTAAGGGCTGTTAATTTGGCGGAGATTAGGGCTATCTTTGTATGCTGTTTTGTATGAGTATTCAATTTGTCAGTTGCTAGGAGACTCCTTTTCGAAGAGCACTGGTAAGTAGTTGCATAGAAATTTCTTATTTGGTAAATAATTGCATGCTGTTTTTTCTTCTTGTGAGATGGTTAGAACCATAAGTATGTATACGTCTGAATTCTTTAATTTCATTTTGCCTAAGCTTCCTCTTGTTTATTCTTGTATCCATTCTGCTTGCAAAAATTGTGAGGTACTAGGCTCAGGCCATTAAGAGACTCCTTACGCATTATTGAAGGAGGAGTTGAAATGTGAGGAGTAGGCCTCTTCGGATTTGTGTATTACCTGGATTTTAAGCTTGAATAGGAATTTCTTTATAAAGGATTTGCTGCATTTTCTTAATAGAAAAGTCGACTGCTTTTCATATTACATGCTTCAATTCAATTTTTTGGGACTAAAGTACTACAATGTAGCGCCTAACTCAAGTATTACATGCTAACTCTTTGCTATTTAAGCCTAACTAAAGTACTACAGTAGCTCTTCAATGCCAAGTTGACATAACTCATAGGTGACATTCGGTGCAGCCATTATGGAACTGAGACATTTGCATACGTCAAACCAATAGGCATGGAAAGAACAACACAAATCCTGAAAAATTGATTTTATTGCCTCCCCACGTTTCTGAGCAGATGAAGCATATGCTCACTTCCCACCTTATGAAAAAGCTTAGGTGTTGTTTTTGTTTTATTAGATAGCATATTTTTCAAAGCACTCGAGAGTAGCATACTCTCTGGTTCAATAAAAAAAAGAATTGGAAAAAATTGCCTTTATGTGAGATAAACATATATCTGGATGATTACAGCAACGGGACTTCTAAGGACAATAATGTGTGAAACCCGAATCTTGTGCATATAAAGAGAATAACTCCAACATACCCAATATGTGTGATCTTTTGACATGGACAGACGAGATATTCTCAGAGTGTTTAAAGTGCACACTGTCAAGAATAGTTCCATTCTTGTAGGTCTTTATGAAGTTTACTCTTATAAAAAGGTGAGCTTTTTTAGATAGCTACTGTTAATTCACGGGGCCTTATACATCTTTAAAAAAGGGGACTTGTAAGAGAATAACTTGACGAGTGAGGGTACAGACAACTCTGATCCCATGTGCATCCCAATTAGTTTCGAGAACATCAGCTTTTTATCAAATTCATGTCCATTCTCGCCCTTTAAAATCAGGTGAGAATACAGTCCTACCATGCAACAGACATCCACCAACCATCTTTCTTTCACCAGCTTTCCAAAACTTGGTATATCTTTCTTCCACTAGTAAGTCCTTGATTTTTTCCCTACTTTTCCATTCGTGAAACCGTAAGCAACATTTGTCCAGTTCCTACATGGCAAACTTCATCCCAAACTTCTCAACTTCGTATGGCACCAGTTCTGAGAATGATGATGAGGCAATTCTCAATGTTGCAGTAATTTTGCTTTTTGCACCTGAAGCCGAACAATATGATGGGCCTCTTATCAAAGTACCCTGCCGAACTGGAGATATGCCTGGTTGGAAGTGGGTGCGAGAGCTAATCCTTGGTCACCCGCTTCGCATATTGGAGAATTGTCGAATAACGGTTGACAATTTCATGAGACTTTGTGACATTCTGGTTCAAAATAACTACGTCCCGCAAAATCCGCACAAGCATGTGTCTATTGAGGAATCACTGGCTATGACTCTAGTCATGCTGAGCCATAGCACGCGTACCTGCGTAGTGGCAGAGAGATTTCAACACTCTACTGAAACTATCCACAGAAATGTAGCAGAAGTGTTGTTGGGACTGTGTAGATTTGTGCAAAGGATTATTCGACCAAGAGAAACAAATGACGTGCATCCAAGAATATGATATAGTACCAAGTATTATCATTGGTTTAAGGTTAATGTTGGGATACCTCCTCAAACATTTATTGTTTCGAAAAAGATGGCTATTTCAATGCAAATATTTACATATATTGCTTTCACACTAATAGACGGAACCAAGTCTTGCTTATGGTGCTTATATTTGCCAAACTGCTGCTTTAGAAGTTCGTAATAGCCACTGTATGATTTTTTAATTGAAGGTTTCACGATTTGCAAATAGTACATGTCAATGGCCAGTTGATTTACTCGAACAAAATGTAGGATGCTATTGGCGCTATGGATGGCACTCATATCCCTGCTTCGGTGCCCACAAATGAGCAAATGGCCTACACTAATAGACATGGGACCCAATCTCAGAACGTTTTAGCTGTATGTGACCATGACATGCGCTTTGTGTATGTCTATGCCGGATGGGAGGGAAGCACACACGATGCTCGGGTCTTTGAAAGTGACTGCGAATGCACACTGACTTCCCAGTTCCACCCCCAGGTTCGACAGCTTGTGTTTATTTCTGGTTAGGCCGAACAAACATGGACCTACGTGTGTTTGCTGTCCATAGAGTACTTATAAGTGGCATCCCTTGGTCTGGCCTTAACTGCTCCCAAATTTTTTATTGTGCATTCAATAAATTCTTAGACGTGCTTCCAGTAATAGGTGGAAAGGAAAAATGAATGGCAAATAGACTAAGGAATACAAACCCGTCTTCTTGTAGTAGTACATCTTCCTTTTTAGACTGCAGACCGTAGTGCCTGTTCTCATATCAAACTAAAATGGAATAACATGTCTCAGTTTTCGTATGGCTAGTGGCAGGTTTTTTAAAGTTTACAATGTAGAAAGAGTTGACCTTTGAGTTTCTGCACAGGGTTGCTACCAAGCGAAACAGATTCTCAAATATGTGAAGCATAGTAATTTTTTTTCAAAGAGTCGTACCCGTGTCCTATCCTTGTCAGCCACAAAAATAGATATCCAAAGTATTCCACTTCCATTTCTTTCTTAAGCCTCAATAGTCGGAATTATTGTGGACATCCCAATTATGAGAATTTCTTAGGCCTCCCTTAAAGTTTTCACCATTTTCAATATGCCAACTCAGAAGCTTAGCCACACAATTTTTTTATGTTTAGGCAAGTACTACCTGGTGGATGCGGCATACAAGATGATGCCGGGATTCTTAGCACCATTTAAAGGAGGACGTGTTTCACGTGTTGGGCAAGGACGTGGTCGAGGCCAAGGACCAAAGGAGCTATTTAATACCCGTTACTCCCAACTTCGCAATGTAGTTGAGCGCTCTTTTGGTGTCTTGAAACAACAATTTGCGTATTTGAAGGGACCTGTCCCATATTCCTATATGCAAACACAAATCAATGTAGTTATTGCATGTTGTGCATTGCACAATTTCTTAAGGGAAACTCAACCCTCCGATGATCACTTCATGCAATATGAACAAGAGGACATACAAGTACAAGCCGAAGCTGGTGGTAATCCATACCCGAATATACAACCATTGGCTGTGCCCCCACATGAGATAGCAGCTTGGAATGCAATGAGAGAAGAAATGGCTAATCAAATGCATGCCGGTTCACGCAGGCGAAGGTAGTAGACATTGGAACTTCGCAATGGCCAACTAATAAACACCACCCTGAATCTATGGGAAGTTGTGCAACTTAATAGGTTCAATGTGGAAGAGGATACATATATTCCTCCGCCTTTTTTTAGGTGTATGTTTTGTTGTACTTAGTTCAAGCTGCCGTATTAGTTTCGAGGTGGAAATGGTGGCTAGTAAAAGATAGAGACGGCAGCTCCAGCTTGTGTAATGTAATTATAAGTTTGTATTGTGTGTTGAATGTTTCATTTCTCTCAAACTGCTTGCCTCCTGCTCCAAGAATTTAACGACTGCATGCATTTTTGCAACATCTGCTCTTATATTCCCAGGTTTACATCATCTTATGGTCTGCGGCAAATCTATAATAAACCTTAGATGTCAAGAGCTCCAACATCACATCCGTCAATGGATACTTCCTAGTTGCCTGATGCTCTTCTAGTTGTATGCATTGTCTGAGTCATCAAACTGGTCCGCAGGAAAAGGGAATGGAGGTTTACACGAATGGCTTAGTTGCCTGATGGCCCTTTAGGAAGTAGTTGCTCTGTGTGGCTAACTTCTCAGCTGCATGAAACTTGGACGAGTTCCGCTTTGCCCCAGTGTTTAGAACCCTGGCATTCGTCAAGGCAAATTACGGGTCACTGAGCTGCATGAAGCTAAAGTACGTCTGCATGAGAAAGCTGGCCAATTTTTTTATCCCTCCTCATATCGACTAAAGTAATGTATCCACGTGGTCCAACCTGGCAATGAGGACGTGGAAAGTGAAGAATTGCCACCAAAGTTGTCCAAATATTTTTTTGTTATCTGACAGATTTTTTCATTATCTATAATATTTTATCAAATAATACTCCAAATAATAGATATCCAAACACCCTCAATATTTGTGTCAAGTCAACTGAACAGTGTATCTAAATTCAGAGCTAACTACTACTGATGCACGAGAAGGGACTTGCTTATATTTTGAAGTTCATTTCATTCATCATCACGTATATATGCAAAGCAATTTCTGACAACTCACTCCTGTTCTTTGGGTTGCCTTTGTAGGTGTTTGGTCACCTTATAAGTATAGCATTGGTGCTCTTCTTTTTGTTTTTCTTTTCCCCTTCTTTTTTCCTTGTGTGATAGGACTTTTTTTTTTTTTTTTTAAATTCCCATTGTCATTCGACTTTTGGCAATGCAATTACCCATTTTAAATTCTATATTACGCATGCTTTTATTTACATATCTGAAAACACTGGCACCATAAGTTATAGTACCATAATCTAAACTCTTTTGAGAAGTGAGAGGTCCTAGATTTAGATTCCTCTTCCCCTCTTTTCATTTCTTAAATCCTATCCCGCCTTTGCTAGAAAAACATTTTAACAAATATTTAAAAAATAATAACAATAAAATTAGTTTCCAAAAACAAATATATATATATATATTTCAGTTAAGTACGGTTTAGGGCCGGCAAACCGGTGCCATTCTCCTCCTGGACTCTGGGGGTAAATTGCCTGCATGATTGGGCTGCCAAAGATCTTTTTAATTTAAGTTATTCGGTGGGGTGGTCAAAGATGTGAGCTCGTCCATACAAGGTCTTGGAGGCCCAAATGGTTTCAATTGGGTTTTTGTCTCATGAATTGGAAGCGACTATGTATGGAGTATTGACCGATTGACTTCCCCCCCCCCCCTCCCCCTTAAAAGTGGAAAAGAAAAAAAAAAGAATTTTCATTGTCTTTTACTACAAACATTGAATTTGAAGGTATTGAAGCTCGTCTGCTTGATGATCAACGCTTCGTATCTTTAAATGCTTGAGCTTATCCCTGTTTTTCTTAGAATTTTACATCTCCTAAATGTCAAAGATTAAAAAAAAAGGTGGTTGAAATAAAGTTAAGAGCTTTCATTTAACTATCAAAAAAATTTTGATTTAATCGTTAAAACTGATGCCTTAAAACATATAGATTTTAAATTCTAATTCCCTAATAATTACCCTTTTTCCGCTTCTTAAATCCCACATTTCCACTGGTAGAAAAAATTAATGCTCATCAAAATACTATCAACAATAAAAAGATTCAAACTGAAATTCAACACTAATATGCCCCAATTTGAGCCACTGATTTTCTTATCTTAATCTTTTTTTTTTCCAATTTTCTTTTCATTGTCATGCTATCACTAGTCTTTAGTGTTTCCAAATGGAAAACGCACTTCATAGCCTTTCAATGCTCGCTAACAAAAAATTGCGAAGTGAAATCTATATAATTCGCCTAAATACGAAAAGAAAATAAATTGCATAGCTGACATGGCCCGAAGTTGGTCGATACTATTAAATGCAATTGAGAGTTAAAAAACTACACGACTCAAAACTTGGGCAAAAAAGGTAACAATAACTTGCAAAAGATAGAATTCAGTTTCTATTTAAAATGATAATAATTACTCGGATTAAGCAGTAATTTAGGATGGAAATGTAGGAAAATATAGTATTAGTACTTTAAACAAGCTAAAATAAGTAATTTTAGCCCTCATAAAAAGAAAACTGAGTCTTGAACCCCTTCGCGCTTGTGCCATGTCGGGGCGTTGCTGCATAAGAAAAACTGCCAAATCTGATCTAATTTATAGGAATTGATTAATTAACATGTTCGTTAAAAATATGGAAAAAAAATCAATGACTTATCAAATTATGTGTAATTAATAATCAAGAAAGTCTTGATTGTTGAAGTCTCATGAATTAACTGTCATGAGTTTTAATTTTCTTTTTATTCCTGCTTCTTAAATCTCATCTATCACTCGTAAAAATATAAATAAATAATAAGAAGAAGAATTGCAGTAGTTGTAACCCGAGCAGGAAAAAAAAAAAAAAAAAAACTGAGCCAAGTTCCCGGGTTGGGTTAAAGATTATGTTCCAAATGCTGACGCGGCGCACCCTGAAAATGACATACTTGTTTCCAAGTATACACTGATGGTAACGCTTTTCCTGACATGCTAAATCTTCCTCCCCCTTGGCTCCTCCTTCACCGCCACCACCACCACCACCGCCACCAAAACCACCATTTCCCCAGTTTTTACCAAATTTCCCCCCCTCATTTTTATCTATTTTTCTAATTCGCCCAACTACCACCAATTCACTAATTCAAAGTCCCATTGTCTTTGATTTTATTTGATTAAATTTTTTAGAGGTATTAAACCATTCTTTCAATGGGCATTCAAGTGTTTGTGGCGTACGTGTTTTTCCTTTCTTGTTTTTTTGTGTGTTTTTGATTTTTGTGGTTTCAATCTGGTTCTGGAAATGTTATGATGGTTTAATGATTTCTAGTTGAGTTTCGTTTGCTCATTTGCTTGTTTTTTTTTCATTCAGCTTGATGCTCTTGGATTGTTTATTGGGATATATGGGCTGTTTTTCATTAGGGTTTTAGCATTCGTGTCTGGAATCTATTCAAGATTGAATTTTGATTTGTGCTCTTGTGGGATGTTGGTGCCATGTAGATTTGATTTTGGATGCGTTGGGAAGGGGGGGGGGCGCGGTTTGGGGGTTTGGATAATAAGCTTGGAAATGAGGGAGATAAGATTGAATGAAGTGTAAAATTTATGCACTTTACATTTTTGGTGAAGCGGCCATATGTTTTTCTTGGGACTCAGATATAAATTGAGGAAGGAGTTTGTAATTTGTAGTTTTTGTTTTCATCAGCGTATGTATTTTCCTTTCTTGTTTATTCTTCTTTTAATTGCATGGGGACATGAATGAAGAGAAAGGGAAATAATCTGGAATTAGGGGAATAGCAAATCTGAAGCTTTAGTTTTCCTTGTATAGACACGTTAGCTGTTAACTAAGCCCTTAGCTATCTAGGATAGGTTTCAGTTAGTTTTCAATCATTTTGGCCTTGATGAAGTTGATCTTTTTTGTAGCTTAAGATCATACTTCTGCAGTCGCATCCAATTTTCTTATTCAATAACCTGTATTACTGGCTGTAATATTTCTTGTCAGACTTGTTGATCTGAGTAGAAGAACAATTTGTATGGGCATTTTGTGGAAAGATATACTTGTTTTATGTTTGCAAAACCCTAGATGCAGATTTGTGGAGAGAAAAACATAAGTTTGAAGTTTTAATACATTTAGGAAAATGGAGAATAAGTGAAAATTTTTGGAAATGGATTATACATCCAAAGAGTCATTAGGATGCTGTTTTCCTTGGGCCTAAAGATCCCTTTCTAAGGGATAATTGCGTGGCTGTTTGTTATTCAAAAAAAAAAAAATAGTTTGCTTGTCAAAGGAATTTTTTTTTTCAATTGTTATTTTTTCAAAAGGACTGAAGAATCTTTTGTTGATTGGATCAGTGAGAGTTCAATAAATATTTGCTTCTTCTAAAGTTGTTTGAAAATTCTGGGCAACCCTTAGTTTCCTTGGCTTCTATTGGAAAGCTGGTGTATCCAAAGCGGCATATTGATGAAGTGAAAATAGATAGTTATGGCTGACATCTGCAAGTATAAAACTAGAAAAATGCAATAAAGTTTTAGGTTAGGGTAGCTATTCAAGAAAAAGGTAAAGAAACTGGCAAAACAAAATTAACTGGAAGAAGGGGATTGGAGAAGATACAAAATGTAAAGGTGTAAAAGAAGACTGCAAAAAAAGCTTGGACAGAAAAATATGATTCTCATATCCTACTCAAATGATATGGATCAAGATTAAGAAATGGGATTTATGGATGTGTATAAGAGGAAACTAAGTAAACCACTGATCAAGCAAGCTTTGACCTGATCAAGATCTATAACTTTATCTTCTACTGGAGGCAAGTTGCAAAGGAAAGTTGACAGTTGTGCATTCGAGTTGAAACAGCTTGACTAGTCTAGTCGAGGGCACTCTGAAGGGCTCCAAAACCTGCCAAATTGAGATTGGTTTTTGTTCATGTTCACTGGCTTAGAAACATCACTGGTTGACATGATGTTCATGCAGGGCAGCTGGTTCAAGGAGTCCCTCCCCTTCATAGGATACTTGGGCTTTGATGCTTACTGTTTGAGTGTGGTGGTTTCTAAATTGCAAGCCTTTAAATTGGGCATGTGCTGAACTACTCCATCAAGAGAGATCCTTTGGAAAGGATCCTCCATTGCCACATGAGCTTCTTACTTCTTTGTGGGCAAAAATCAGAGTTCACCTTAGTTGTTACTGTCTCCTAAGTGCTGCCACGGCCCTAAGCTAGGAAGATTCTTGACTGTCCAAATGGATATTCCATTTCTGGCCTTTTCTCTGTTTAGGGTTTGCTTTGTCTCCTTTTCATAGGATACTACACTAAATCTATGTAGTGCCTTCTAGACCAAGCGGACATGCATTTCAAACTTCAAGTCACATTGAAGCCTTGAGTTTTGTTTGGAAGTATTGCTTTAGTTTATATGTTTAATTAATATGACAT